ATGGCACAGAAATAACTGCCTTGCTTTTTCGTGTATCAGAACAAAGGACCATCTCAAGATATATATTGACTTTTCAGTCTGCCTGACTTGGAAGTTAGAGGGAAGTGATGTACTGGTTCTTCTAATCTAACTCACAGCTACAAGAAACCTGGGGTCCTCAAACTAGGAGGCTTTTTCCAGTGCTCAGTCTCCCAGTAATGAGACATTGAGCTTTCACATGGAAAATACTGAGAAGTTATTTAAACCCACAAAACACAGGCAAAACAAGTAATCCAAAGCCACCAGGGAAGTCTCTGCCAGAAAGGCAAGGAGACACCATCATCAGGGTATCACTTTGGGAGGGCGAGCCATCATAACAACCACAAAAAAAGAAATCTGCAAAACTGCTCATATGATTCAGCAGTCCCTGAGGTTTGCTGGATGAGGGGTGGGTTTCCTGCAGCGCTGGGATTGCTCCAGAGCCCTAACAGCAAGCTAGGAAGAAGCATTTCAGTAAAGAGAAAAGAGGTATCATGGAGGACCAACATATGCAGACAGCAGCCCTCTCAAAAATCAAAAGTAACACTGAGAGCATATACCCAGTGAATGAGGATGTTAGGTAGATTCCTACAGACCCCTGGGAAGGAGGGTGGCAGCAGCAGCCAGTTCTGTGGTGTAATGGCCATGTTAATATTGCACATGTGCCATCTATATAGTAGCCACTCGACTTCCATTCAACATGAGATGCTGTGGGGATGGTTTACTCGGAGAGAGCGAGAGCACTTCTCTACAGCCAAGGATCTCCTGTGAATGGGATCAGCAGACAAGTATTTGCCAACTCTAGCTCCTTACTTGTTTACAGAAATAGATGTCGTAGAGGACCCTCAAGAAGTGATTCACCACAGTCAAACCAAGGGAGAAACAACAATATGCCTGTTTTTCTACGGAAGGGATACTGCTGTAGAACTGACTAAAAAGCCAGGACTTGATCTGACCGGTATTTCAGCCATGAGTGAAGACTAGTAACCCAGACACCTTGATCTACTTCCAGCTGGGAGTATAAATATTTCCCTGACAGCTGGTGGTGCCACAAAGCAGAAGGATTCATAAAGTTTACATGAACATCCTGTAAACAATTTGAACATAAAAAGCTGTAACAGCCCAATTGTGTTCCTGATCAAAGGCAAACTTCAATATACAGCACAAATGAAAACTTCATCACTCTGGGACTCATTTCTCCCTCCAGGAAAAGCTGTTTTCCAAGGGTACGTAGGAGGGAGTTAACATAAATGAAAATACACAGTAGTAGTAGGAACTGGCTGCCCTACACCTTCAGATGTGTCTATTTAAATTATTAAGAGATAATGGAATTTAATTATGCTGGAAAGTCATGTTACAAAAATTCATTAACAAAACCTGTACTTTGGTCAGGATTAATGGTGCTAAGGTTGATGCTCTCAGAGGGTAAGAAAAAAGTTATGTTTGTTCAAAGACATAAAGACTAAGCAGCAATGCCAAACTGGAAGGGAGATGACAGACCTGGGGCTGCGGGCGGGAGATGCACTCCTCTTCCATCCCTCATCCATCTCATTCATTCAGACGTTAACAGCTCCTTTTTCAAGCATGACTAAGGTCCCAGACCCCTGGGTGCTTATCTCCCAACACAGCCACCAGGATTTCCACAGGAATCATTTCCCTAGATAATTTTAAGCATTACACGGTAAAGTGTTCCTGCCCAAGCGGTGGAGCACAGGGCTCTGATTCATGACCGGCGACAACTCATTTCAGCTGCAGCTACAGCGATTCCTGGCCTGAGGACCAAGGCACGTCCCTCCCAGATTCCCACCCTGCTGCAGACGTGGCGCAGGGCTGGGACCTCTGGGAGCAGTGACGGCGCAGCGCTGATGTGGGAACCCCACAGCCCCCTCCAATGCGGCATTGCTCAGCTATGACACATAACCCAGCCCTGAGGGGCCCCGACATCCACATGCCACCCCTGAAAACTCACATCACTCTTCTACATTTAGGGATGCATCTTCCCATTCAACTCTAAGGGCAGCTAACTCCTAAAACAAAGTTAAGGAGCTTCTCCTCAAGGGGTTTTACCAGCTCTTCTAGGGACTTTTGGGGGCGATTTCACTTTGTTCTAGATTTCTTAATTCTTGGTACTTCTGAGGAAGGAACTGTTCCACGTTAACACAACCATACTAATCCATCACACCTTTAGTTTGATCTCATTTTTGGCCTCGAAGTCCACAACTAAATGACAGAAAGGGGACAAAATGCATACACAAGACTTAAAATACCTCAGGATTTTTACCTGCTTTGTAAATATATTGCTTCTGCAATTTATAGCTACCTCAGCTATAAATAATTCTGCAAAATAGAAGTGGCAAGGATAAAAAAAAAGTACGTGTGAGACACGGGTAGTGGTGGGCCAGTGGAGAGGAACAGCCGTGGACACGGAGGGATGTACACTTGTCAGTCGGCCGAGCCCTCCCAGCCTAGTCCATCAGCCAGGAGCTTTGAAGGTTTCATCATGATTTACCCAATGCAAATCTGACCTTTCTTACAAGTGACTTTTATTGCTTTTGGCAAAAGCAGCCACGGACAACACAGTGGGGAAGAACTGGCTTGGAAGCAAACAGAATGAATTGCAGAAAGAGAACTTGAACTTGGAATATATCAAACTGACAGCGCCCGGGCAGTCGTCAGACATCCCCAGGGCAGACACTTAGAGAAGGCAACAGCCTCCCAACCACTGCCAGCCGCAGCGAGAGCCCCTGCACCTGGCTGCAAGCAATTATTGACATTATCTCCAAACAGGGGATCTTTTTTGAAGCTCTTTTCCTGATATTTAGCAGTTTGAATGCTAATCCCTTTAACAAAACTGTCTCCTATGCTTTTTCCGCCCTCTTTCCCCTTAATCTCTTTCTCCCAGTGGAAAAAAAAAAAACAAAAACAAAAAACAAACCAAAACCAAAACAAAAAAAACCCCAAAATACCAGTCAGCCTAGTTTGGCCGCACCTGGATTTGCATTGATTCTTCCCTTGTCATTCATGTTACCAACAGGAATTAGCATATGGCTTTAAGGGGAAACTCAGGAGGAGAAAAGAAAGACGCCATTTTGATGGAAATAAGGGGCAAAGGAATAATCTACCATCAACTAAAAAGCTTATTTGTGTACGGTTTCCCAAGCAAAGCTTCGAAAAGCCCATGTTGATTTTAGGCTACACAAAGAAACCCTAATCCTTCCAAGGGAACTAAATCACCAAAGAAAAGTACCTCGGAAGAAAAGGCTCCCTGTCAAGCATGGGTATTCACAACCAAATAGATGCCACGAATCAAGCTCCGTAAGTAAACAAAAATAAGAATGTGGGAAATGTGTTTGATTCAACAACAAAAAAAAAAAAAAAAAAAAAAAAAAAAAAAAAAAAAGGAAGAGGAAAAGGGGCCTACTCTTCATCAATCACCTCCCGGGGGGAGGAGAGCCCCTCACCCTGGTTACAGGCCTCCATCAGGAATGTGGATTCACTGCCTGGGCTTCTCCATCCCCCTGGCCCAGTCCCAAGAAAGGGCTGCTCAAATGTCAAAGCTTTTTACAGCGAATTAGCAAAATAAAGATGCAGTCACATGTAGTTTGGGGGCCTTGAGTTACTCCAAACACACAACTCGTCCTTTCTACTTATCTGTGCCGCCTGTTCTGTGGAGGGGCTGAGGGGGACCCTGTAAACGCAATTCATCAGGAAGGATATATTAGCTTGCCAAGTGAGATAACCTAGTTAGACAGCAGAAATAATCCAGACTGTATTTCCAAAGGATGCTAACACACGAAAAACAGGAATGTGGATCCATAACGCAATTACATACAAGTATAATTCAATAGGCAGCAAAAGACTTCAGAAGCAATGGCCCATCAGCATGGGAATCCCAAACGTAATGGGGTCCATGGCGTCCCCAGTTAAACCTCTACAGCTCCGTGGAAGTAAAAGACACAGAAAAACACCAGAATGACCCACTTAAATAACAAACCCAAACCCGGTGAAAAGCACACAGGGCAAATACTGAGCAAATCCACAACTAGTCCACAAAAAGGACCTAAATTTCAAGTTAATCAAAACCGTCTCTTCTAATGCAAAGCGACTCAACCACTCTAAACAACAGTAAGTTAAAACACCATGGGTTTACAGACCCTTTTACTAAACAGTCATCACGGAACTGCCATCAAGAAGTAGGACAGTGGGGTGAAAAACAGATGCGTTTTGAAGGCTTTGAATTATATTCATGCCTGGAGCTGCTCCCTTGACCCTCCTTGCAAAAACACAAACCAAAATAAGAATTAAAAATAGAAAACCCCTACAGCCTACAGTCCTTCTGATAATGCTGCTTCAGGACATGCTGCACAGAAGCTCACTGGCACTGATTTAGGGTAAGTTTTCCTTTAATGTACTGTTATATCATTAGCCACTCTCTCTCTGGATTGCTGTTTGGAAGAAATTAATGGGATACTGAATATTTAAATGTGGCCCTCTATATCATTTATTAACTCTACAGAAAGCACACAGCACAGTAAGCCATGGTTTATGACTATTATCCTGTGAATACTAAACGTTGGCTGGTTATTACTGTCAGCAGTGCAAATTGGCTATTCATAATTCCACGTCTATCATGTAGCTGATGAGTAACAATCAAGTTAAAACATTTTGAAAACTCTTACAGTTATTTAAATGAGCTTAAATTAAAGCCATTTGTAAAATAAACTATTCCCTAATATTGTTATTTAAATTAATTCTGACCTGGCAGGCAATGCATTATTTAAAGCCTATATTTTATATTAAGCAAAGCAATTACCAAGCATACAGAACATGTCTGAAACCAAGAGAAACATAAAAAGCACTAACAAGCTGATTGCGACATTTCTGCAAGACAAGTTACATTTCATCTCCCATTGAAATTGCCATGAAAAGAAATGTGTGGTGAAAAAAAAAAAATATGTTTGTGATGTGAATTGCAGTCTTACCTTTATTTGTAACAGCGTTGAACAGTTTTTCAGAGCTGGCATCAGATGCCTGAAAGACCAATAAAAAAAAAAAAAAAGAGTTACATTTTCTACAAGTGATAGATTTCAAAAGGCATGGCGGTATATTTATATACACACATATGTATGTATATTTTAGAGAAACAAATCAGGTGACAAAACCAAGACAGCTCATGGAAGCTGCAGCCTCCCAAGAAAACTGTCCATAAGGTGGTGCTGTTTGGCTGTGCTTCACCACCCTGCAGTGCAGATATTTATTTGGAAAGATTCTATTTAATAAAGAAAGAAATGATTTTTTTATTATTATTATTCAACGTATTAGCCGCACAGAAACGATATTTTTGTACTGTAATTATCCAATACATTCTGACATTGATTTTGCAATGAAGAAGAATCATGATTTTGACTCAGACAGCATGGCTTTGGGAATTCACAGAATTGCGGATTTCTTAATTAATTTTTAAAGTATTTCTGGAGACCCCTGCTGTGTCAACCATTTGATTTTTACCATCTTTAAAGCAGTGCTGATAACTTAGGTTAGTAATTTCATAAATGGCTGTGACAAACTCTTTGAAAAATAGAGTATGTTAGTATTTAGTATGTATTTCCACATAACATTTGCCTTCATCAGAATAACTGATTCTTGACACCACACTCTGTATAAACTAATAATCCATTTTATTTTTCATCAAGCCATCTTTATCCGTGGGAAGATTTTCCTCCCAATACTGTGTGAGTACCTCATCTACTACTGCTGTTTGTAGGCAAGCATGCCAGTTAATCTTTCCACCTATTATTAAAAACCCTTAACTTAAGTTTCACACAAATACGCTGAGCTCCCCCTTTCAGAAACAGCAATGGCAAGAAAACAGACGGGGGAAGGTAACCCTGCAAATGTTAATTTTACAAACATCCTGAGCCCGAAAGCAGAAAGCATTAAGTTTATGCATCTGTGTGCTGCTGTGTTTGCGCACACACACATACATAATACACACATACATACATCTACAGCTCAAACTTCTACCACCTACACATTCACAAAATGCAGAGAGCTGTTCAATTTTGGACTCTGTCTTGGATCCAACCCCGCTGAGAGATAGTCTGCTGTTTGAAAATACATCGAAAGAAATGTGCTCAGTAATGAAAATACTGCAAACAGGGATAAAATGCAACACTTGAGAAAGATTTTAGTCTTCTCCTAGAAACTGTTTTCTCACTGGATTCAGGAAGAATAATTAAAAATACTGTCTATTTGGAAAGCAGGCTGCTTTTTTTTTTTTTTTTTTTTTTTTTTTTTTTTTCTCAATTCAAAACCAGATAACAACCATCAGAGAAGCAACATATATTAAGTATCTTGACGGCACTAAAAACTTAGGTGTGACATTACCGATAAATAAGTAGATATGATTCAGACTGCATATCACAGTGTAGTAACACACTGAAATAATTTGTTTGCCCTCAAGTTAACAACATACCAGATTTCTATGATTAATTATTAAAAATAACTTTATTCTTTTTCAGACTTCTAGACAGATTTTACTAGAGTGCTGCTGGCTTATTTAAAACCTGAGCTGGTGTATTTCTTCTTGGTTAAATACCTTGTAAACACTGGATTTATTACCCAATGATAGATTTATTATTCAGTGACGACTTTCTCTAAATTAATGAAAATATGTGAATAATGCACAAATTGAAAAGATCAAGAAGGCCATGTGCTATAAAGAGCAGTCCAATATTAGTCCAACAAATTAAAAGATGCTCAATGCTTTCCTAACCTTGCCAATCAGCCTGCTCTCTGATTAAAAAGAACCTTTTCCAGTGAATTTTTAATCTGCTGTTGTCTTTTTAAATGCACCTTCTCTCAGAAGTCAAAACTCCCCGATTCATTCTTTCTTATTAGAAAGAAAATCCAGTATTAAAAAGCAAACAAACTTCTTAGAGCTTCAGCTCTTACTTTATTTTACTATTTCAAAACAAAACAGCATAGGGAAGCTGTAAGATGCTTATTTGCTTGATTTTTCCAAACACTAGAGTGAGGAAACAATTATTTTTTTATTTTTTATTTTTTTAAGAAGTTTGTTGTAATGCCAAGCCTAGACCAACAGATTGTTTTTAAGCTATGTTTTTTCAGGCACATCTTTTTCTATGCTATTGTAGAGACCAGTCAGAAAGACTGATGTGAAAGCTGGAAGTGGCACTTCTTGGACGTAACGTGGTGCACAATACATCCTGCCTGAGAATCACTCGTGAGCAAACTGGGAGATGATTATCAGTACAATATGCGTCTAAAAAGGGAATAATTGTACAAAGACAAAGCTTGTCCGAGAGCGAATCTCATTTTGCATTACTGACCACACACTACTGAACAGAAGAGCAACTTGAAAAAAAACCTCATTGCCTGGGTTACCATAAAAATAACCCAAACCCATTTCACTGTCTTGAACGGTGAGATGGAACTTTGACTGCCTGTTTCATTACTTTAAAATGCGGCTTTAAATATAAAAGAGCAATTAGGGTAATGTACCAGTGATACAGTAGTGAATACAGCCTCTGCCAGCACACAAGATACTGTATCCATTCCCGTGCAACTATTATTTTTTCGTAGTGAGGTAGTCACATCATGCAACAACACTGAAGGAACAAAAAGCTACATTAATTTAAAAAAACCCCAACCAACAACTCAACACTTAACGCGGAGGATACAATCCAGTGCCTTTGCAGCGCTGACCTAAAATCTCCTCTGTATTGACAGGAATCTGTGCAGACAACAGAGTGCCTTTATTTCCATGCCGGGTGCTCTAAGGCAATGTGCTCAGCCCTTGATGTTTAAGCAAGGAAGAGGAGCCTGGCTATCCCTTTTCCACGAGAGAAGTAAAACTCTTCGTTCCCCTTTACCCTGATCACTGCCAGGTCCTGCCGGAGCAGCTGATGGAGAGACACTGTTGGCAACGTTACGTTTTGGGAGAGCGCAGGGCTCCAGCGCGCAGAGCCTACCCGGGGTGCCTCATGCCCCAACAGCCCTCCGGGTTTGGGGGGCCACCCTCCCCGAGCCCCCGCACCGACAGGGCGACAAGCCCCTTCCTTGCACTTTGGCCGCCTTCCACTACAGATCCCCTTGTTACCAAGCGCAGCTTAATCCTTTTCAACACGAAATGAGACAAGTCAGCAATCCCTGGGCTAAAAAAAAAAAAAAAAAAAACACTGGAAAAAAAAGAAATGTCCC